AGGGTTGTTCAGACACTGACATTAATCCCAAGTTTCCTATAGCTAGGAGGTCCAACATCTGATCAGTAGGTGCTAAGCATTTAACTGTACTAAATAGAATTTTTTATCAATTAAATACTGCATCAAGTATTCACCTAAGCTGTTCTGTGTTTCTGTGGTAGTTGTAAAGCTGCTGTCTTGCTTTTTTACCACTGCAGTGCTGTCTTGCTTTTTTACCACTGCAGCACTGGTTCTGCCATTATTTTTGATGAGCTGTTTCTCTCCTGATCTCAGAGAGTTTCCAAGAGTAACAACCGACATGGCCTTTTCAAGGAATCTTGACATATCTGTCCAACTACAAACAATTGGAAATAATTATGAAAGTTCACTTTCTGAATTTTTTGCAAGCAATTTTATGATGGCACTGAAATTATTTATTCAAATAAACCCTAAATTTATTTGGATTTACCTTCAATTTTTAAAACAATGATTAGTGTGTTTGGTATGCCCTGCATTATCTACCTATTTCTTATCTGAGTCCCTGATGGCAAGCAGTAGCTGTGACTATGAATAGTAACTATTAAAACTCTGAAAATGATTCAAACAGGATCACTGTAAATTTCTCCTTTTGGTCTTCAAGAAATTCAAATTATATTACAGATCAGTCAAATGGTTTTGATTGACTCATGTTCACCATTGACAGTCCAAATAATTAAGAAATAACATCAAATTAGTGAGCTGTTTGTATACACTTACTCTACACGACCATCTCCTTCTGTATCAAACCTTACAAGTAGTTTTTCCAACAAGGAGCGACTCAGGTGGACATTGTGATGTTTACACTCCACCTTCATCTAAACCATAAATGATGAAACCAGTTTAGTTTAATTGCTCAAGACGGGTGATTCTAGAGATGAACATGCTCTGTAATAACCCAGCATGACATGTTTATAGTACTGATGCACTCTTTTCCAAATGGCTGTTACAACAATTCTTGATGTTTTCAAAGAAGGCACAAGGGAAATGGAAGAAAATGCAATTACTATCAGTGTTAAATTAATCATCCATGCCAGCACCTTAGGAAATGTAGAGAGGAAATGAAAAGAAGCAGTCTGGGAGTATGTGTGTCGTTAAAGTACGCAACAACGCCCTGGGCAAGGTTAGAACCTAAATCTCTTGATCTGGACGCTACAAAGCAGCTTACCTTGCGAACAGGCCTCCTGATAGGGTGCAATACAAAGATGTAAATTGTGCGATTGTTTTATACACATTGTGCAATTTTTTTCTGCACTATTTTAAATTATGCTTGTTTTGTTAGGTTTTAAAGACAGAAAACATTTTTCACTCTTCGGAAGACACGAAAGCCATTTTCTACATCTTCTTTCTTAACTTGTGCAGATATTTTGCAATTTAAACCGTTTTTAGCGTGTGTGCTGCAGGATGCGATAATAGACCCGCAGCAAAGGTCTGGGTCAGATCATGCAACTCAGACCTTGGCTGCCTGCGTCCAATATTGTTCCAGACCCAAACCAGTACCAGACCCCAGACATGCGAAAAAGACACCTTGAACTTTGATTGTATGTACAATATTGACCTTCTGACAATGTTCTCAGGTCTTTTTTAAGGTAACTCCTGTTGAAACGACATGTAAATAAGGCATTTTTAAGATAAAGTGTTAATTTATCGTTTACCTTGTGGAATTTTTGCAATTTTTTAAGAATTATGCAATTTTTCATGAATTGTGCGATTGGATGCATTTTGAGGTGGACTGTGTGAAATTGCACCATCACGTTTTATCAGAAGCCCTGTGTGAACAATACCCTCTCCTTAACTTTCACAATCCTTTAATTGATACCCCAACAACAGTTTTTATAATTATTATAATTTGGTTTACAAATTGTGCATAGCAAATGCAGCAAAGTACGTTATCTGATACATAACTGCATCACTTATTTTCCTTCAACCCTTTACATCCAAACATCAGCATGTATATCCTCCATACTGTTCTCTTTACATTTCCTTTGGTGCAAACAAGGAGAATTTGTTTAACAATCAAGAGCATGTTTAGTCGGTGATCATTTCCTTTATTCTCGTGGCCTTAATGTGTGATTCAGGGGTGATACTGTAAGGAGAAATTAGATGCTGGTCACTCTTACAGGTAAAAGGGTTAAAATAAAGTTCTCACGTTATCACAGTTCTGACATGAAAACTTCAGTTCATTGCCATCCAAATTTCCATTCACCTGCATCAGCTCATTTTCAACTTCTAGCAACAGCTGGGCATCATTTTTACTCCTGGCAGATGAAATACTGTTGGAGAGTACAGGATTTGACAAACCAACAGCGCTCAATTTGCTTTTCCCTTGCCAATCCTCAGATCCATGACAGTCTGTAGGTTTCGTAAAAAAAAAAAGAAAAACATCACTTGAACACAAAAGTCCTGCCTTCAATCTGCTGTAAGAGTAAATTAGGGATTTTTCATGTGTTAAACTTATTTTATGATTTGATGCTACTCAGTTTGGAAAATGGAAAAATTAAAGGGTTACACAGATAAACACAAAATGACTTCAAGCAAATTGACCTGGGGTATGTTTGTTACACATTTAAAGCAACAATCTGTTCTTTCCATGTATTTTGAAAAATATTTATCATCATTATCCTTCCAAAACAACACCACATCAGTGAATGCAATTTTGTAAAGTAAGTCCAGCTTTCAACAAATGAATTTCTTGATATGTTAGAGACCTTGATTTGAGTTTCTCAAACTCATTAATTATTCATGTGATCATCTAACCAAGACACGCCAATTTCATCAAGTGCATGTGGTTTGAAACCCCGATGTAACGGTCGAATGATGTGCTATCCATGAGTTTGATAAAGCACCAAACTCTAGTGAACTCATTTCTTAATTTAAATAACAACAACAAACTTGCCAGCAATATATGAGAAACATATGATGCACGATCCTCACAGTAGATATATGAACTTCATATATTTCATTGTATCAAATATATGAGAAAGTTGTAAATATTTCCATTTTCTTTTATTCATGAGGTGCAATTGAGAAGCTATATCAAAAACTCGTGCAATAGATTTCATCAAGGTTTCCAAATGCAAGACTGACTGATGAAAGCACAAGGCTGCAGGCCCAGTGCCTTTATTGTTTTCTAGTGTTTGGAAACCCCCGAGAAACCCTTGCACTCATTTTTGAAATAGTACTTGTTCACAAAAGCAAGACAACATTGGTCAAGTTTTTTGAATATGGCAAGTGGCCTTAAAGAAGATACTGACATGATTATCATAGCAGTTATAAAGTATAGTTTTACTTTCACTACATTTAGCAAAGAATCACCTAACAAATATCGGGCTAGTGGTTCATGAAGAACTCCAAGGCCATTATCAACTTCAAACTTCTTGACAAGAGCTGTCAGTGTAGGACCAAGAATGAGTATCTGGTAATAAAGGAGAACTCGTCTGAGTTCCTCTGTGGTAATTCGGCCAGACCGGTCCTTGTCCAGAAGAGACAACTTGTGTTTCACATCTAAAAGTTTCTGTTTACTGATATTCTTGAGAGCATCTGCCACTCTTTGGGAAAGTTGGCTGTCTGAAGTTGATTGGTCAGAGGTGACACATAAGATAGAGTAGAGAAGATCAGAAATTAGTGCCTATGCAACCATCAGAAATTGGGATGAACAATAAGTGTAGAACTGTGTGAAGCACTAAAAAGGATGAATTGGATACAATTGGATTTTTGCATTGGCAAATCCATGAGATAGCTTCTTCCTGCCCAACTCCAAATCAAGTTGCTGATTAGCTTTTTTTTTTTCCCAGAGGAAAAATTTAATCCTTTAATAAAAGACAATGTTCAACAAACTGACATGTGACACCAGTTCCCAGTGTTAGGCTTACCACATTCTTGGGAAGCTGCAGCACCTCTAAACTAACTCAGTTCATTTTCATGTACATTATGCACAAATGTGATGAAAAGTTGGAAAAAGATAATTACGCAATTATAGACCACTTTCATAAATGGCTGCCGAATTAATATTCTTTTGTTTAGATTTAAATTAGCCCCTCTGGCCTCGTTCTCCGGTACAAAATTCAAAAGGATACATTATCTCAAAAGAATATTAATCTGGCAGCCATTTACGAAAGTGGTGTACATATTGTCATCGTCATTTTGAAAAGTGTGATGACCAAACATTTTTAGAACATAGCTAGCAGAATTGCGCAATCAAATTCAATATAGGTAAGGGTGCTCAAAATCCCGATAGTGCACGCTGACAGTGTCAGCAAATTGCTTCGCCAGAAATTTTTTTTTTTGCGCGGGGAAAAATAATATATTTCGCGACAATAATGGCTACAAACAGAAACTCGGCCTATTAGTCCAATAACGAAGATAATGTTTCGACCTTTTCCCTTGGGCTATAGTTCTTAGGTGAGGCATAAAATTTAGAAGTGATATAAAAACACTGTTACCATCTTTCCTTAGTTTATATTACATAATGTACAGGCAAGCTTTAATTTTTTGATATTCAAATTCAACAATCAATCTTTTGCATGAGTACACTAGAACTGTTTAAAGTAATTGCTTACCCTCAGTAATAGGAGGGAGGACAGGGTATGCCTTGCCACCTATCTTAAATGTTGGACTAGGATCATATTTTCCCCATGGATAAGTAGCACTGAGGGTACTCTGCCGTGATGATGGTACACCTTGGTGGTCTGGAACTGTAACCAATTTTCCTCCAACAATCTTAGTCACAAATCTTGAAGAGCTCATGGTTTAGGTAAGTCAATTTCATTTTCCTCCTTTTGATCCACTGTTAACTGTTGGGAAAGAATTTTGTTGGAATAGCTGAAGGGAGTTAAGCGGTGTTTATAATTTCCATAGCATGAAGTACATTTGAGACAACAATCAAATTTGAAAACTTAAACAATAACTGTTTCAGCGTAATTCACCATACAATAATTTCAAGTGAGTAACTTGAGTGAGGAGGATGGATCTTTTTCTCGATTGTTGAATAAACAAGTAAGGGCACTGTAAGTTTCCTTAAACCTTTGACCTGTAATAATGACCAGCATCTAATTTCTCCTTATAATATCACCCCTGAATCACTATTAAGTTTGTGAGATTAAAGGAAATGATCGCAAACTCAAGAAGCTCTTGATTGTTTCATGATTTCTCCCTGTAAACACTAGAAGAAATTTATACATAACACTTTAGAGAATTTGCATACTGATGCTGGGGTGTAAAGGGTTAAGTATAGTAATATTGCTTAAGTATTTACAGAGATGGTCCTGGTTAAAGATTAAATCAAATCTTGGTACAGTCATTCCACTTAAGGTGATTATGGTTAAAAGCATTAATTTTCAAGCAGCTACAGAATTTAGGATGCTTCTAAAGAAGAAAACAAAACATAGAAGAAGCAATTGCTCTGATAATCACCTGATTATCAGAATAGAATAACTTTTAAAACAGTTATTCTATTCAAGACCAGCAAATATCATTGCATGACTTTGTCCTGGGTTTATCAAACAATATTTACCTCGTCTTTGGTAAATAACTGAAGAATGATACGGGATAACAGGTTGTCAGACTTACTAAATTTAGGGTATGCAATGGATGCAACCTAACTACATGAAAGGGTGCTCCACTGTTGCTAAACAAAGCTTGTACTTTCACTTGTTCATTCCTGACATGGAATCATCAACAATTACAACATTGTAAATCATTCATCCCAAAAATTTGGAAAACTAATTAAACGACTTTCAACCTATTTCTTCCCAACTGAAAATAACAGAATCAAAAACTTATTTGAAAAGATTCTTCCAAGATCAGCAATAACTTATTTTATACTTCATTTCATCCAAATGATCAAATAAATACTTCAACCTAATTAAGCACACATCTTGATTACCTAAAACTAAACGATGGAGAAGCCATCTACACAAACAGCTTAGCGACGACTTGTTAACTCGACATCACCACAACGAAAGGGACAACATCGAAAATGGATAACATCGAAAATCCTTCATCCCAAAAATTTTGGAAAACTAATTAAACGGCTTTCAACCTATTTCTTTCAAAGTGAAAATAACGGAATCAAAAACTTATTTGAAAAGATTCTTCCATGATCTGTAAATAACTTATTTTATTTTTCATTTCATCTAGATGATCAAATAAATACTTCCACGTAGGTAACCACAAATCTTGACGACTCAAAACTGAACAATGGAGAAGCCATCTACGAAAACAGCTTGGCGAGGTCTTGTTTACGCATATGTAAACTCGAAATCACCAAACGAAAGGGACATTAAACTCAGAAATCTATATAACAAGGATAAGACATATGCATCAAGCTAAACAATTATACTGCAAACTAGATGGCATCAACTTACAAAAGACCGAAGAGTACAATAGAAAACCTTGCTTCGCGACCAATTTGTTTATAATTTGATTTCATTGTCACCGGCAAAGTTGAGAAATATGACAACAAAGCTACAAATATACACAGAAATTTAAACTTATTTTTCTGTTTTTGTGAGTTTCCTACATAGACAGCCAACAAAAGCAGATGTTTTATGTTCGTCTCCTCACCTTTCGTTGCTAGGTCCTTGATCGGCCATTGCACGGAAGATTTCACCAGTGTCCAGGTTATACTCGTTTTCTTTTCCTTATGGGAAGGGACTGGGAAGGCGTGAAAAACCACAGGTACCCCAAGCTCTCTTTGAGAACCACCCAAGGAACACAATTTGCATATCGATTTATAAGGATTTGTATGGGATTTTCTACAAGATATCCATAGAGATAGTTAAAAGTGAAAATATCAAATAAAAATGACTCACCTTATTCCATACGTGTGTTGCTTGCTCCTGGTGTCGTTATTTTACCGATTTCACTTGATTTAATCGGTTTTTTTTAATCCTGGTTTTCTCTTCTTAAAGAGAAGACAAGGCCCAACACTTCTGTCAAGACAGCCTCCCGAACGAAGTAAAAAATCCCGAGCTAAAATGTACCCACAGCCACAAATCCACCGCAGAATTCAAGGGCAAAGGTTGAACTTTCATTTCGATTCTCTAGCCACATAATCTGAGCCTTGCGATCGAAGCCAGACATCCGAGTCCTTTTTAAACACGACACAACCACCGTTGCAATCGGCTTGGTAACCTCGTCATGTTGGCAAACCAAGACTCGCGGGGGTACCAGACCTCAACTTTTCAAGAAAACTTCTTGTAAAACCCGGGGTCCCCTCAGGTTTAGTACCCCCGCGAGTCTTGGTTTGCCAATATGACGAGGTTACCAAGCCAATTTCAACGGTCGTTGTGTCGTGTTTAAAAAGGACTCGGATGTCTACAAACGTTTTAACGTTTCACTGAGGACACGAAGAGCCGCCTGGCGTCGATCGCAGGGCTGAGATTGTGTGGCTAGAGAATCGAAATGAAAGGTCAACCTTTGCCCTTGAATTCTGCGGTGGATTTGTGGCCGTGGGTACATTTTAGCT